TTGTAATTTCATAGGCGTTAAAGAACAACGTATTTTTTATTTAAACTTTTTTTCGCTATCTCTTATTGTTTTCAAGATAATTCATGGGCAAGAAAAATTTGCATTTCTTTCAAGGGATGGTTTTACCCCTTTAAAGTGAAATTCGACACGAAAACAATTGCAAACTATTAGGCTTGACTTACTCTACTTATACCAAAAATTTTATAATTTTTTGAACTTCCTGGTTCGATACCTTTCCCTGTTAGTATTTAACCCTTAAGTAGGCGAGTGGGTTGTTTCTAACAGTTTATGCATACTTTTTTAAGTAGAATGACCTTAAAACGTCTTGAAGACGTCTGGCTATATTAGTACCGTCCCAAATAATGTTAAACTACACTGTCATAAATTCATTCTCGCAAAAAAACTTTCGTAGTGGAGTGTGTGTCGTCGCGGAACATTCGGGTTTCCATACCTGTAACGTCCGCATAACTATTTACAAATTTCCCCTGCTGACATATCTGCATGTTCTTTTCATTTTCTTAACACTTTAATACCTGGTCACACATTATCAATTACCGGGTATCACAAGGATAAATTCACAAATTATATCCTTTACGAATAACCATGATACTAAACTGCTTCACAAATAGTTGAATGTTTTATCAGCGACAGATTATCTTGATTATTGAGGATGAAATTCCTTATTTCTTACGCCTACAAATTGTTCATTTACCATGGGGTGTCGTGGACACCCCACCTGAACATTAACGTCAACAAATTTCAGCCTCCTACTTAATACTAGAATTATTTCCAGTTTCTTCAGATAATCATTATAATATTGAAACGAAACTATTTATTTTTAAAATCATTTCAAATATTCCATGATTTTAAGGTATCAATAATAGCGAAACAGGAAAACCAAAACCAGCCATTTTGGCTGGAACGGTAGATCTAGTGTTACAGGTTAAGTCCCACTCTGGTTTTATACTACAAATTTGATCTTATTTCTAAAAAGTGGTAACATTCTTAAATACTAAGAAATCACCTTTCAGGTGGACGCACGGAGAATTTTACTTCTAATATCTCATTATTTCTAAGAAGACACCTCGCAAATGGACGTGGAAGATGCTTATGTCTAGAGCCGCTTCGCGGAAAGAATCTTCTAACCCAGCGTTACTTAAACTATAGGGCGCGATTCCAAATGGGTTCGTAAAGCGAAATGTTGAGGTCACGACAATTTAATTCAGATATATGAATTTAAAGAAACATTAATCGCAATCCCTCCATTATCTTTAATTTAATATATCGCATGTTCTGTGCAGTTATGAAATCGTAATACTGACCAAATTAAGCTGTACATTATATTTACATATTAAAAAACAAGCTTTAACGCTTATTAACCCTTTGCACTCGGAAGCTTTTCACTAGAAAAATTTGACACTTTCCAATGAGACACAGGCAACACAATTTGAAACGAACTAATAAGAAAACATACGTAAATTAAGAAACAAAGCTATTTTATATAAATATTTCACATATTAAAGCATTATACAAAACTTAATATTACATATACCACTTTGTAATTTGTTATATCAAATCAAATGGTGACTAAGAGTCATCTCTCGAGTGCAAAGGGTTAAATCCAAATACTGTTTAACGCTGAAAAATGTTAAGGAAGCTTTACGTCCAGCAGTGTCAAATATTGCACACAGATTTAATTTGTTATGCAGCACAAAACAAGCACATTCATCTCAATTTTTTCCATTAATTTTTGCATACCTGAAACAAATTCTAAAACTACTTTTTTTCATGAATATATTGTTTACCAAAGAAATAAATTTATGGGGAAATATTTATCTTTATATCTTTGTTTTATATTTAAATCTGGTGTCGCGAAATAATCTCGATGATAAAAAGGGATCACGAATAAAAAAAAGTTTAAGGGGCGCTGTTCTAAATTGTAAGAGCGCGTGATATCAGCATCGATGGCCGATAGGTGGCTCTCATAGTCAGAACAAAGCGAACAGGAAAACAACGTACACGAAAAATGTGCACATGTACGAAAGCACGTAAAAACGGACAATGTCAAATGCGTAAATAGATAAAAGCGCAAGATGTAAAACGTGCACAGTACATGATCTTCACATATAAGAAATGCAAAATATTTACTGAATTATTCTAGAAAAATACTTACAGTTACTCGATTTAATATTCGAACACCATAATGTTCATAGAATGAATGTTCTATTTATTTACTTGAAACATAGTTACACAGTATTTTGGTCCGTGATTGGTTAAAGCAAATACTCTAACTTACAGTTATATAAAATTAATTGATTTCTTTCTTATTGTTATATACAATAATAAACTATGAACGAAATTATATTGAATTACGAAGTTGAAAAATGATTCGAACACCCACTATAACTCATCGCTTACTTTATCCTAAAAGTAAGTTTGTCGATCGGATCATTTGTAAATGAATCATTCAGAAGCCAATGCAGTTAAGTTCGTCTGTTTTGGCTACTGAAATTATTATACAACATATTCACAAGCTATAAAAAGAAGGGCTTTCCGACCTAGAAAAACGAACAAATGAGTAAAACCTTTAATAACTAGAAAGAATATTATTTATTCCACTAAAATTTACAAAAATCAGAAAATATCAGAATATCAAGTATCAAGTAAGTGTCGCAGTTCTTGCGGTTTCAAATAATTAATGTCATAATGAACTTCGTCATTAACCTTCGGTAGAAATGGTGTTAACACGTTGCAAATCAGAAAATTCTATATCTATGTTTCAAGTACTTATAAAGAGTTATAAGAGATACACTCATATAGAGTGTAACGCTATCACGTGAATTAGATAGGCACGGTACAACGGTAACGCCGGGTGAATATAGCAAACAGCTGCGTTCCGTGATCGCAGCTCATAAATTAGGAGGGAAATACAAACAATTAAGCTAAGGAATTATAACGCGAAGCGTACTATCTAAAAGTCACTCAACGCGGGCGGTCGGGTTAAGAGAAGGTCGGAAACCAGAGAAAGGAAACTACTTTGCTTGTAGCCTCTAAAGATTCGTTTATTACAGACCATATCTAAACTGACACTCTTAACTAAAATCACGTTCGATCTTCGCTGTCGTCGAAGTCCTCTCGGTACCTTGGTTATTTGTGAGGGGCTAGAAATTTTCTCAAGAACTACCGCGTTCGCTTGCTGGAGATCTCTTTATTTTTTCTCTGGGTCCCACGCTTTCCCTTAGCACGTGCGCTCAGAATCGCCCTCGCTCTCGCGCCTTGACCGGAGATCTCCACCTCCACTCGCCTGAAGGTGAACCGAAGCCAGAGGAAGAGGTCCGCCCCGGACGAAGGGGATGAACCTCACCATTGGGTTAGGGAGGATTGCTCCATAGCATACCCATAGGACACAGTTAGTTAATTCCACAGGATCTGGAGTTGCGAAAAATTCCACTCCTTATCGGTCGACGCACGAATAGCGGCCGCCAGGAGAGCATCGCTATGCGAGAACTGTTTGAGGGTAGACCATAAACCCGAAATCTGCAAGAAGAGCTCATGCCGCATCTGCAAACAATATCACCATACGCTCATTCATCGGCTGAAATCAACCCCGGATCGCGTAGGTGATAGTTCAACAATGAGGCACAGAGCGTCACCGATCGCTCAGGAAGAAGAGAGCGAGTGACAAAGGCATCGCGAGAGCCGGAAGGAGCCAAGCCGTTTCAAAGTATTCACCATCGACACCATCAACAATGAGCTGCTCGTCACTGCTCAAGTTGACATATTGGACAACAACCAACGTCCACTCAACTTCATAACGGAAGACCTCGTTGAACGGCTAAAAATCCCAAAAAGGGAATGCTCCATTCCCGTAGGGGCTCTCACCGCGATGACCACCATCGCAAAACATACAGTAACGGCTACTATAAGATCAAAGGTCAACGCACACCAGCGAACCTTAACATTCCTGACGATACCAAAAATCGCAGAATGTGTCCCGGATCAAGCAATCAATCAGTCAAAAATAAATATTCCGCGTAACATTAAACTAGCGGATCCGGAATTCCATCGCCCTGCACGAATTGACCTGCTCTTCGGCTCCGGAACAGCACTGTCCATGCTCAGCGTCGGACAAATCAACCTATCGGCCCCCAATGAACCTGACCTCTTCCTCCAGAAAACGAGGCTCGGATGGGTCATCGGGGGGAGCCCACCATCTCCCTCACAAGGTCACGGCGCCTCGTGTCACGTAACGAGTACGCTACAATTCGACCTCTGGCGCGATGCAGCAGGCGAAATTAAAACATATGAATTGCAAACGGTAACGTTCGGATTATCGGCCGCTTCGTACTTGGCCGTTCGTTGCCTCAGCCAATTAGACCAGGACGAAAGCCACCGTTTTCCTCAAGCCGCCAAACTCCTACTCCGGGACTTCTATGTGGACGACGCACTAATCGGAGCATCAACGATCCAAGAAGCATGCGCAGTCCGGGAGGAACTCACCCACATGCTGAAATTGGCGGGCCTAAACATACGGCAATGGGCAGCCAATCACAAGGCTATTTTAAAGGGTCTGCCAGAGCAGGACGTAAACAAGAAGCTGCATCTCGGCGAATCGTCTAGTCTGAAGACATTGGGAATCGTCTGGAATTCTTCGAACGACTCCATATCATACGAAGTGCAAATCTAGCCTGCCCCGTCACGCGTAACCAAGCGCTTCATCACAGCGGAGATCGCGAAAATTTATGATCCCCTTGGCCTCCTAGGACCCGTCATCAGCGCCGCCAAGATGCTGTTACGAAAGATCTGGACCATCAAGGTTGACTGGGACGAGTCTTTGCCCACGAGCATTCACTCAGAATGGAGCCAATATTATAAACAATTACCGTTACTGAACAACGTCGTGTTTCCAAGGAATACCATCCCTCGCACATCCCTCGTAACATACATGTACAACTCCTTTTCGCGAAATTAAAGGTCGCACCGTTGAAGACGCACCGTCGATGCCCACACTCGAATTGTGTGGGGCCTTATTACTACCATCTTTACTAGCCACCGCTAAAAAGGCTCTACATGTGAAGATTGATCGTACAATACTCTGGACGAATTCCACAATAGTACTTCACTGGTTAAAAAACTCTCCACACACCATAAAAACCTTTGTAGCAAATAGAGTATCCGAGATACAAGACAAAACAAGAGTCGCGGATTGGCGACACGTTTCAACGTCAGACAACCCCGCAGATCTCATCTCGCGCGGTCAACATCCCGAAGAGTTTCAGCCATCCATCTGGCATCAAGGACCAGAATGGCTCAGTAATGAAGAATCTTCATGGCCAACTACAAAATTAATACCACTCGAAGATGCAATACCAGAGAAAAGGATAGCAACTTGCCTAATTGCGCAAACATTGGACACCAGCATCCTCAACAACTACTCATCTTGGGGACGAATGCAACGGATTATCGCGTACTGTCTCAGGTGGAAGAAGAATAACACCAACAAGGGAAGCCTCTCCGCCTCGGAGATCAAGAACACCCACAACGTCATCATTAGGCTCCTCCAATAGGCACATTTCGCCAAGGAATTGCGGCGCCTGTCGAATAACGATTCCGAAATTGGAGGGAAATTGCAGCGGTTAGCTCCCTTCTTAGACAAGGACGGCATCTTACGAGTTGGTGGCCGATTAAAACACTCGTTCATCCCTTTTCCACAGCGGCACCCCATCGTGTTACCAAAGGCACGGGTAACAATACTCATCATTGAAGCCGAGCATCGAGCTCATTTACACGCTGGGCGTCCTGTAAAGTACTCCGATTGTCACGAGCACTTTTGAGTATATGCTGAGTTTTTCGAAGGACCATCCAATGTTGGGACTAAATGACTGATTGACTGATAGCTGTGCTGATTCTCAACTGAGTCTGATTGAATCTGAGCTGATTCTCAACTGATTCTGACTTGATTCTAAACTGATTCTGATTGAAGCTGAGCTGATTCTCAACTACTTCTGACTCTGAACTGAACTGGTACTGATTTTGACTGAACTGATTCTGAACTGATACTTATACTGACTGTCAAACTGATCTTTTTTCTGACTGTTTGAAGGGTTTTGATACTGATCCTGGGCCTACTCCCCCCCTCTCGTTATACGAAGGTGGGCCTCAGGGGCGGTTTTTCTATCCCTTCCTACGCAAGATACCTACCCCAGTCTCATCCCCTTCCAGTCCGCCTGTAGCGCGGGTTTCCTGGAGCGGGGGTGACGGAGTCGGTCGCTATGCTGAACGAATGTTTGGCAACGCTGGGGAAATTCCATTAGGTCAAAATCCTTGAGGACACTTTTTCTAAAATTCTAACAGACCCTCTGGAACACGACTTTACGATACCTGGACTGAAGTGAAAAAACTAGACAATGGTTGATTTCTACGCTGAACCCTTATGTGCCGCATATTGGCTGCAGGCCGGCCTGCTAAAGTACCGGACGGAAAGCTGATGGTCACGAACGTCTCTAAGAATAATTCCCGTGTCGTAAAATTGTCCCCTTGTTGTCCTAACACGTTTAGAATACGCTATATGCCGTTAGACGCAAGTACTGGCCCATTGACGGGCGAAACCAGGTCTGGAAAGCGCTAAGACCCTGCACGCGCTGTCTACAAGCCCAGCCACCGTTCGTGGACTACGTAATATGTGACTTACCTGAGGCGAGGGTCACCGAGTCTCGACCGTTTACGCACGTCGGCGTGGATTATTGCGGACCCTTTTACGTGAAAGAAAGAAGACACCGGAATCTCGCAAAGATAAAAGTATACGTGGCGGTCTTCGTTTGCCTCGCGATTAAGGCTGTACATTTAGAGCTTGTGAGCGACCTCACCAGTGAAGCCTTCAATGCGGCACTGAAACATTTTATCGCTCGACGGGGATTTTGCGTGAGCCTGTACTCCCACAATGGTACAAATTTCGTCGGAGCGAATAACGAGTTAAAAGAGCTCCGCGAACTTCTTCGATCAGACGATCATAATCGAAGGGTAAAAATCTTCCGCACAGAGCGATCCATTGAAAATTTATTCCACCCCGTGCACCACATTTCGGGGGGCTGTGGGAGGCGGCCGTGAAGGCATTTAAACACCACCTGGTACGCGTCGTAGGCACTGAATTATTTACCTTCGAGGAATTCAACACCCTAATAATTCAAATTGAGTCCATCCTGAACTCCCGACCTCTCACATCTCTGTCATCCGATCCAAATGATATTTTAGTACCTACTCCCGGTCATTTCCTTATCGGCGACTCATTTACGAGCCTGACTGAGCGAGATTTTACCGACATACCATCGAACCGCCTATCGACGTGGCAACACATCCAAAAGGTAAAGAGGCACCTTTTGGAATCGTTGGCACCGGGAGTACTTAAATGAGCTGACCAGGCGTAGCAAATGGACAACACATCTCCCATACAGTGGCCCCTCGGCAAGGTAGTAAAGGTGTATCCAGGTTCCGACAACATTATTCGTACTGTAACGATTACAACCGCTACGAATGTGTGTGATCGGAGCGTTAAGCGGATCGTACAATTACCCTACCAATCAAACGGAGAGGACAACGTCCCAAATAAGCCAGCATCTACGGACGTACCTTTTCGAATCCCGCACCCATCTTAGAAATTAAGATTAAATATAACACCTGTACTCAGCTAAACGTAAATGCACAGATTATAATTACATATTCATACACACATACACGCGTTCGATCACACAGATCACACATGTAGTCTTAAGCACACGAACACAGCTCATTCACATGTTGATCGGCATCCTCTCAACGGGGGGAGGATGTTCCATAGCATACCCATAGGACACATTAACATTTATTTTGTAAAGAATACTTATATTACGTAAAAACAAGGATACAGAACTGGAAAGGAAGAGATGCTAGCTGATAACGACCGAGACTTCCATCGGAAAAATCAGAACGATTTCGAACCTTGAACGTTTAACCAGTTTGTAAACTCAGAAATAAAACAGAAGTCTAAATTTAAGCGAAAGTATAAGATTTATTTCACGCGTCCTGAGCAGAGTACCTTAGTAGTCCACGGGCACCTTAACCACGTGAAGTTCCCTAAAATTTCCTTAACCGCGAACGGCGTAGCGCAACAGAGCAATAATTCTGCAAGTACCATTGTGTCTGAATATTAAATCGAGCAACTGTACTCTGGTTTTTTTACCAGAAGTTGGTATTTATTATAAGTATTAACGTGTGTTACTACTGCATTCGGACGAGTTTTGCTTATATGATAAACACTGATATAGGTAAGGTTAGCTTTTTACCAGGTGGAGGTGCAGCGGAGTTGTGGAATCGCTTCACAGCGGGTTTCAAAAATATGGAATATAAAATATGGTGTTCAATTTAAAAATGGTAACGTAATCTTACCAGGACATTTTAAGGCTATGTCACGGGCAAATACCTCCCGTCGTGGTATGTAGTACTTCATACCCTGTAACTTTTGTTTCATACCTTTGTCCGTATCACTAATATTTTTCGGGATAATTCACTTTTATACACACCGTAGTTTCAGAGATATTTAAGAAAATGTACTTTCAACCCTGAACTTTGAAAGGTGTTTCCACCCTTTCAAAATGGATGTTGGCCGATAAGGCAAAATCCGTGTCAAATATTGTCTTAAGAACTATGTTTCACGCAAGTTTCATCAAAATTGGTGCACGCTGGTTGAAAAGGTTCCCTTGTCAATTTAGTGACTTGTATACGCCTTATCATTTGTGCACAATAATTTAGAAACACCCTGTATATGTACGGGACTGTGCGTATTTAAACTGTCCACTTTTTGCTATGTGCGTCTTTTCCTCAATCCATTCAAAATTCTTTCCTTGTTTTTTGTTTTCTATGAACAAAGGTACAGTGAAATAGAATTTAGATCGGATCGGAATTTATAGTGTTTATCATTATAACTGAAAAATATTTGATCGAAACAAGGATAGACCGAAACTGGATCAAGATCTGACCGATAGTGTGTTCCGGATTACTGTGAACGTAAACAATAATCAAAGAGTAAAAAAATTTCAATTTCAGTCATTTTAATTTTGCCTTTTCGAATGTAATACTAGTAGATTATTGGGATTTTCCAATTGCACCTCGATCTTGTTTTGCGCGGTGGATGCGTACAGTGTAAAAAAACTGAGGAAAAAAACTGCGTAAAATAAAAAAACCGCGCAAAAAATACCCTGGAAAATAGAAAAACGTGCAAAAAGGTAGCCATAGAAACAAAATGTACCTACCGTGTAAAAACAGATTTCCTGTAAAGTAGAAAATTTGTGTTAAAATAAGGCAAAGTATACAAAAATTAATTTAAGGTATAAATATGCATTCAGTCGAATCTTTTATATGCTTTCGCAACTGTGTTAAGTGAAACATATTAAAAACCGTGTAATAGCAAGTAAAATGTTTAAAAAATAAAAAACGTTGTTAAAAAAACAACTTCAATGAATGAAGACGAAGACGAACATTTTGATCGTGATGCGAAAATACAATACTTTATAACTTTTGAACCAATATTCACTGCCAAAAAGTTTAAAATGCTAGGTGTACAGAATAATGACCTTAACAATATATATGGAATTCACAGTGATACATGGGTTACTTTTTTTGTAAATAAGTTCGACAGTTTCCCATTCCCAGACATATTTCTGCATATATCCGCAAAACTAAGGCTGAGTAATGGTAACATGTATAGAAAAATGACAACGTATTTTAAGGACATCTAAATCGGTAAGGAATCACTGATATAAATAATTACCACAAAACCATGTAAAAGCAAATGAAATGCGTAAGAAAAACTGTGTAACAGTTAATCGCGTAAAAATGAACCTAGGTGTACAATATATCAGAACACAACGTAAACCGAACGTAATAATGTTATTAACATACTGTAAATAATTAAATTCAACATAAGCAGATTTACTCTAAATCTTATTATACTCGAAAGAATTTCAAGGATCAAGTTTCAAGGTAAAGATTGAAATAACTAAAACTGAAATACGCTTTACTACATAATTATTTCTTACTAGACTGCACATTTATATGCAAATACATGTTTCCAACATTGAATGTATTTTGCATACTTTAAATAGAAGAATATATTACATATCTTCTATATATTCTGAATACTTTTACCTTGTTACTGGTTTCCTTTTCAACGATTTATTAATTATGAACTAATAATATTCATGATACTTTCATACAACTGTATTACAGTTGGTTTATGATAATCTAATCTACTCTGTATTCAACATAAGTTCAAATAAATGTAAATAATAACGTTGATTACACATAGAGCGACAGAAACATGTCGGAACGTGAATTTGATTATATACAGAATATCACTGGAGAAAAGATTAATGAGAAGTTTAATCGCAGACTAAGGACAACTTCGACAAAAATTATGATTAACTACATAATAACGAGTCGTACAAATTAAACCGAATATTACTGTATCTTGTTTAAATATTTCCCTTAGTTACTGGATTATAAGCTTGTAACAAGTTTTGGAAATTTTTACGTC